AATATAAATCAATAACTTTTTCATAATATTAGTTAAGAACATGTGTTTATTAAATAATATATTTTTAAAAAAAACATACATCTTAAATATTTAATTTTATATTATTTATAAAATTTATTTGTGTAGTATACATATTAAATAGTTAATTTTTATTTTTAGAATTTAATAAAATCTTATGATTGCAATTATATATTCAAATGTAGTATATGTAATTACAACGTGACATCCAAATATGACAACCGACAGTTATAATTATAATGAAATTACACTATGACGATCAAACATGTCAATATAATTACTAAACTGTGCAATACTAAACTGATAATTTATATCCTAATAATAACACTAATTTTCAATTGGTAGATGGCTTTCCAAACAGACCCTACCCAACTTAAAATGAGAAGAGGGGATGAAAAGCAAAAGATATCATCAATGCTCAAAATTTAGTTATCTCTAATTTATTATCTCTAAATAAATGATTATTGAATGTTAAACATTTACTTTTGGAATTCAGTCTCTCTCTCTTTTTTTCTAAAAGGATTTCTTATGGAACATATTCAAAATTAATTACAAAAAATTATTATAAACAGTGGGATGATTAGTCAACTTGTACATGTTTTACATTTACAAATTATTGGAAATGATATTCTTAACTAGTTGGAACCATCAAAATATCGTTTAAAAGTCATCTTTATTAATTGTTAACCGAAGGCCAATTCTTTAACTCCTAAACTTATAAATTTTCATCCAATGTCTAGAAACTCATCTAAATTTTTGTTCTGCACAAATTTAAATATTTTGAGCCATTTTTTAACACACAAAGAAAAAACAAAAATCATCGGAGTTAACGTGATTCTTTAGCAGATTTTGCTTATGAAATTATTCACATTAAGTTGCTAACAATAATAAATTACATGAATTTTCATTTTTATCTTATGCTGAAAGAATCTAATTGATTTTTAAAAAAGTGGAGAAAAAGTTCACATGTAAAAGAATTCTTTAATTTCACAAGTGCAGAAAAATTCACATTTTCAAGTAATAATTTTACAAAAATATATCACACTTGAAATTTATTTTTTTATGACAGTCTAAATTGCTACTAGATAATAAAAAGCCCGCTATTGCCTAATATTGCAATCTTGTATACTTTTTTTATATTAGAAATTTAATTAGTTTTTGGAAAGAAATAGTTTTTGAAAAGAAATTTAATTACAATAATTTCGATTAAAATTCATATAGGTAAGATCACTTTTGATAAATAAAGTTATGACACCAATTAATTATACTTTTGACATTAATATAATGAAGATTGATAGCCAACCCAAACATGTCATCATAGAATGTTTCCACACATAACTACATATTTTGTAACATAAGAAAAATAGTTTAGCAAATTTAATCTCTTTCTCTTATTTTCATCATTGACTTTTGAAGAACTCCTAATTGATTCTCTTTTAAGATACAGATAAATTATGATGGAAATGATTTTTGATCATTAGTCAAAATGGCTATTTGAGAATTTTAATTTAAAGGTAAAATTAAAATTTGAAATAGATTGATTTAGAATTATTTCTGAGTTTTCAAATGAATAATTTGTATATATTCAAAGAATTTTTTTACTAAAAATTTAAAATTATTAAATTTGACCGAATCAGCGAATATTTACTCTACCCCTAGATCTTATAGTTATCTGAATATATCGGTGGATTGATTTTGTCATCATCTTGAAAGTCACATTACTTTTTTTTTAATAAATTAGTGTCACATTTTAAAAATCTATATGATTTTTTTTCAACTTTGGGATACCTCAAAATGTTTTGATATTATTTAATTACTAATAAGACTTTTTAAGTTGCAAGAATTTATGTTACTAAAATCTTAAACATCATATTCAATTGCACCGTCACATAATTATCTCTTAAAATGTTTTTAATATTATTCTATTAATAATATGCTTAGTCAATCTTTATAGAAGCAAGTATAATGCCTTCTTATCTCAACAAAATAAAACAATAGTATACTTTGATAACACGTTATTTTCTAAACCATATTATTGGTCCACGTGTCAAGAAGACAATGACTTATTCCCTCTTCCCTTTTCCTATAAAATGCCCAAACTTTTTTTGTTGATTTCACAAAACATCAATTAGTTGCTTAATTAATTTTCTGAAGTACTTTCATTATTATTAAGTCTTTCAAGTTCAAATATTATAATGTCTGGCTGTGGAGGAAGCTGTAATTGTGGTTCTAGCTGCAGTTGCGGCAAGGGCGGAGGGTAAGCCAATCAACTGAACGATTAAAATTCATATTTTATTAAAAGAATATCGTGATCAACTCTTAAATACTCTTTTCGACTTCAGATTTAAATATTTTCTTTTAGGGTTTGATATAGAAATAAATTTGATGGTACATATAAAAAAGTATCGAGTATATATATATAATAATATACACTTCTATAGTTCAAAATCGAAAATAATAAATATGACTTATACGATAATTATACGATGTCAAATGTGTTGTAGGTGCAACATGTACCCTGATTTGGAGAAGTCAACTACCCTTACCATCATCGAGGGAGTTGCACCTATGAACAAGTAAGTAATACTTTATTTTTGTTATGAGTTTTTAGTTTTATGCATTTATATAAGGTCTACAAAATATTAACATGACTTATAAAGTAATTGATGAGTTTACGCTATAATAAAGAATAACTTTTAGCAGATAAATATTATGCATAATAACAAAGAGTATTAAAGTCCTTACCAACATTATTTAATCATCATTAGAATCAAGGTAGATATAGACTTTACAGACATTTACCAAGAGTTTCAATTAGATATAATATCAATCGATTGTGAAAGAATTTTTCACTATCAATTATAATGTCCCTTTTACCTTCGTTGAGTCTCACATCGATGGGTTAAGGGTTAATGGATCTTTCTTATATATGGTCTTGAAAATTTTTATACTTATGACCTGACTTTTATGGTCGAGTTATTAAGTTCAAGATTTATTTCTTCTTTATATGATATTAGGGTCAGATCTAATCCAATTCATTATTTCATCTAATGTTGAACCCCCGTCTTATATTATCCATGCTTCAGATGTTCAGTCCTAGATGTGATGGGTATTGAGTTCACATTCGTGGATTAATGGTTACTTGGTCTCTCCTTATATGCGTTGGATAATGTAACCTCCTCATGAGCTATCTTTTGGAGTTGATCAGTGTTATCCAAGAGATTTATCGGTGGTAAAATTAATGGTTTTATATGAATAAATATTTTGCAGCAAGGGAATGGTTGAAGGATCAATTGAGAAAGCTACAGAAGGGGGGAATGGGTGCAAGTGTGGCTCAAGCTGCAAGTGTGACCCTTGCAACTGTTGAAGTGCTTCCACTATATGGACATGAAAATAAATAAATTGTGTTTTTATGTATTTATTATCAAGTGTGTTATGTAATATTGTGTTGTATAATAATTTGAATAAGACTATAGTCATGTAATTAATAGTGTGGGATGCTACTATACACTATACTCTCATGGCTTTTGTGTTTTGGTTATTTAATTTGATGTTTGTTTGAAGGAGGCTTATTATCTGAGCTATAACATAAACCTTATTGATGTGCAATATATATAAGTTTATCTCCTTCATTCTAACATTTGTTCCTTTTTTAAAAGTATTATGTATCTTGATGTTATGTAAATTCAGAATTTAGAATTAGTACGTTCAGGTATTGTATGCGTCTATATAATTGTTGTTTTAAAAATATATATGATTCGGAGAACTTACTTTATCTTAAATTTTTTGTTACTATTTTTTTTACGTAATTTGTGATTTGTTCCTTTTAATATTGATGAAATCAAAATCTAGAATAAATAATTCTAATGGAAAAGCAATAGGTATAATTAGTTAGAACCCAACTTGTCCTAAACTTATCTTTGATAGAAGCGCAGAGAATAGCAAAAGAAAAGTATAATTAGGGAGATTTTTTGCTAGCTCAAGACCGTTAATTAAGATCGGAAGACGCAACTAAAGAACAACAAGTTAGAAGGGAGAAATAATATTTTGTATAAAAGAACTTGATTATAGAAAAAGACTATTTGATTTGAGTTGTTCTTGGTTGCTTACAAATGACTAAGTTCACACCTATTTATACTTTTATAGGGATGCTGCTAGAAATTATTCTAGATTACATCTACAAAAAAATATCTAAATATCCTTATCTTCTAACTATGTAACAAGAATCTAGATATTTCTATATTTTACTATAAATATTTAATTATTTACAACATCTAAATTTTTCTTAAGTAAATTATCAAATATAATTACTCTATAAAATTCTAGAAGTTCTACTGAATATCCAAGATATTTTTGTACCTCTGGAAAATTAACTTTGATTTTCCACAAGAAGCTACAACACTTTACAGTCTAGTGGCTATTTTTTAATATTATATATATAGTTTCGCAAATAAACCACTTATATATATATATATATATATTGAAGGGATATTTAATTTCTTAGTGTTATTTAGGGCTTTAATAAATTGAAACCGGTCATTTCCGTTGCATATATTACAAAAAGGTTAATTATATACAAATAGCGTAAAGAAATTTACTTAAATCAATTAAGGAGTGGCAAACCATTATGGTGTAGTAATTTTCGTTAATATAATAAAGGCACCTCCATAAAAAAAAATTTATTTAAACTCGAGTGCAAAGTTTCTATTTTTTTATTTAACATTTGAACACGTGAGCACTAGCTTATTCGAGATGTCTAAAGCCAATTAAAAACATCAAAAATTACTAGACCACAACAACCTATTACATCAAAGGTGACTAAAATATGTTATCGTCGAGAAGGGAAAATATTTTTCAAGTACATTTTCAAATATATGACTAGATATAAAGTGACATATTGTAATAGTACGAGGGATAAAATATTGTACTAATAGAATAATGTTTTAATGATATCTACTTTTTTTTAATATTAAAAAGTAAAAAACAATATCTAAGAGTTGATTTTTTATTTTCAATTTTCAAATACATGTTGTGCACGAAATGACACGACAATCTTACTAGTTTCCTCGTCCACTTTCCCTTATTCCTAATTACTGGTCCACTTTCCTCTGTTCCTAGTTATTCGTCTACTTTACTTTTATTTGGATAAAACTTTTTGAAAATCTTAAGCAAGTGATAAATAAGTGTTGCAATCCAAAAGGTGGACAGGTAATTAGGGACGGATGAAGTACTAATTAAAGATGAATGATTAATTTGAAATTGGATATTCAAGAAATGGAATTAGAAGCAAACCTCTAGTCACTATCCCATAAGTTTCTTCAGCAACAGTTTTGGTAGCAGCAACCTAAAATTAGGAAAAAAATAAAGCAAACCCATCTTCACGAGATCGAAAACAAAAAAATGAAAATGAAAATTTACAGTGCCGATCTTCAAGAAAGCATCAACAGTGTGATTTAGAAAAGGGTTTCCCAAATCAATGCGTAGATCCACTTTAGGAGAAATCAATGATCCTGAAAATCGACTACGAGCCATTTTTATTTTTTTTTGCTTCTTCTTATTTTCTACACTCACTCCGATTTTTCTTTTTTATCAGTTTTCTGTTTCTTTCCCCTTTTTTCGAATTTCGATGAATACAAATACCAATAATTTGTCTAAATAAAAATAGTATGCATAATTATAATGATTTTTATTAATTAAATTTTTTAAAAAAAATTGTCTCCCTTTTATTTTGTTGTTATGTAAATCTATTGTATGACTTAGGAAAAATTACTTGAAACATACAATTTATTTGAAAAGTTATAAAAATTTATGTTCTTTTTTATTTTCGAATACGCCATTTTATGTGATGTATAATGATATATTCGAAATCAAAATGCAATATATCAAGAAGTTAAATAATATATTTGAAATCGAAATGTGGGATACATGAATATTTTGGATGTATTCAAATTCCGTCAAATTTAAGAAATTTTTGTAAATTTTTTTTTTTAAAAAAAATTGAAGTAGTATGCAATTAGCTATTACCAAGTTTCTTAACACGATAAAATTGGATTCAATATTTTTCATTGGGTATGATATGAACTATGAATATGTAAATGAATAGATGAGTTCATTTTTTAAATTAAGAAACTATTTATTTTAAAAATTATTTACTTAATATATATTTATATTATTAATAAACGGATGTGCATACATAAAATGTTAAGACTATGGGTTATATATATATATATATATATATATATATATATATATATATATACTA